CATTTATTTATTTCGAATATCAATGAGGTCGGGCCTGGCACAATTTTAACAAACCGACCGAATATCGACAGCTGTGGTGGTTCTAATGAGGGAAAATATGTCGGCTCAGATGCATTTTTGACTGGCCCTTATCTCTACTGATAAACCAGAGTTATGTGTTCTTGCAGAAGACTTAAGAGCCACCGTTATGTGTTCGTGCATTAAGAGCCATTATGTGTTCTTGCAGAAGACTTAAGAGCCATCGTTATGTGTTCTTGCAGAAGACTTAAGAGCCATCGTTATGTGTTCTTGCAGAAGACTTAAGAGCCATCGTTATGTGTTCTTGAGCCATCGTTATGTGTTCTTGCAGAAGACTTAAGAGCCACCGTTATGTGTTCTTGCAGAAGACTTATGAGCCACCGTTATGTGTTCTTGCAGAAGACTTAAGAGCCACCGTTATGTGTTCTTGCAGAAAACTTAAGAGCCATCGTTATGTGTTCTTGCAGAAGACTTAAGAGCCACCGTTATGTGTTCTTGCAGAAGACTTAAGAGCCACCGTTATGTGTTCTTGCAGAAGACTTAAGAGCCACCGTTATGTGTTCTTGCAGAAGACTTAAGAGCCAGAGTTATGTGTTCTTGCAGAAGACTTAAGAGCCAGATGTGTTCTTGCAGAAGACTTAAGAGCCAGGTTATGTGTTTGCAGAAGACTTAAAGAGCCAGAGTTATGTGTTCTTGCAGAAGACTTAAGAGCCAGGGTTAGTGTTCTTGCAGAAGACTTAAGAGCCACCGTTATGTGTTCTTGCAGAAGACTTAAGAGAGCCAGTTATGTGTTCTTGCAGAAGACTTAAGAGCCAGAGTTATGTGTTCTTGCAGAAGACTTAAGAGCCACCGTTATGTGTTCTTGCAGAAGACTTAAGAGCCAGAGTTATGTGTTCTTGCAGAAGACTTAAGAGCCAGAGTTATGTGTTCTTGCAGAAGACTTAAGAGCCAGAGTTATGTGTTCTTGCAGAAGACTTAAGAGCCATCGTTATGTGTTCTTGCAGAAGACTTAAGAGCCATCGTTATGTGTTCTTGCAGAAGACTTAAGAGCCAGAGTTATGTGTTCTTGCAGAAGACTTAAGAGCCAGCA